TGCCAATCTTGTTTGTGGGATGGCTGGACAAAATTCAGGACACTTAGTTAAACTGGAATTTCAGCTAGACATGGTGGTACTTGCCAATAATCCCAGCACTTGTGAGGTAGAGGCAGGAGGATCAGAAGTCCAAGTCCCGGCCTGGGCTACATAACAAATTCAATGCCAGCCTGAGCTACATGGAAATTTTATTTCAAAAAAGAAAAAAAAAAAAAAGAATTTCAGATGAATGACAAACATTTTTTTTTTTTACAAAGTATAACATAGCTGTATATCATAAAAATGTCTTAAATACTGCATGGGGCAACTTATGCTAAACATTGTTGGCTGTTCATCAAAAATCCCAACTTAAGTTGGTATCCTGTTTTGTTTTGCTAAATATGCACCCTTAAGAGCAGATGAAGGCCATCAGAATTTAATGGAAGGGTCTAACATGAAAGAGACAACCCCAAAACATACAAACAGGAAAGGAAGGAGCTGGGAAGAAACAGACTTGGGAGAGAGGAAAACTCAGAGGGTCAATTATTAATCTCTGGGAAATAAAGTTGGAATAATAGTAGAATAGACATCCTTTAAGAAGATAGTCAGGGAACTAAGCTGGATCTTTAATGTCTTAAAGTCCAAGATCTTTTAAATTAAAAATATGGAAACATGTGGGTGGAGAGATGGCTCAGAGGTTAAGAGCACTGACTGCTCTTCCAGAGGTCCTGAGTTCAATTCCCAGTAACCACATGGTGGCTCAAAACCATCTCAAATGAGATCTGGTGCCCTCTTCTGGTCTGCAGGCATCCATGCAGGCAGAACACTGTATACGTAATAAATAAATAAATAAATCTTTAAAAAAATATGGAAACAACAGAAAAAAACTGAGGCCAGTGAGGTGACTCAGCTGAAGGAATCTGCTGCCAAGCCTGATGACCCGAGTTTGATTCTTGGGACCAGTATGATAAAGAGATAAATGACTCCTGGAAGTTGTCCTCTGACCTCCATGTGCATGCATGCCATGGTGTGAACACACACACATAAATAAATGCATAATTTAAATAAATAAATAATTAAAAATTTAAATGAAAAAACTCAGTAGGAGTGGGAGAAGGGAGAATTAAGAAATAAATGCAGCCATCCCCTAGTGTCCTCAGAGGATTTCCCCCCAGAACCTAGGTCAACACTAACATCTCTGGATTTCTCAGTCCCTCATTTTACTTATTTATTTACTTTTGTGTTTTTGAGACAGGGTTTCACTTAGTAGCTCTGACTGTCCTGGAACTCACTATATAAGCCAAGAAGGCCTTAAACTCACAGAGATTGGCTTGCCTCTGCCTTCCTGAGTGCTGGAACTAAAGACATGTGCTACCACACTCAGCCTCCCTTATTTTATCACATTCATGTATTTATTTACGTATCTGTGTGTGTGTGTGTGTGTGTGTGTGTGTGTGTGTGTGTGTGTGTGTGTGCGTGTGCTTACATGTGTGCACATGGGAGCCATGACATACATGTGGAGGTCAGAGGACAATTGCAGGAGTTGTTTTTCTCTTTCTACCACGTGGGACCTGGGGATTGAAGTCAGGTTATCAGGCCTGTGGACAAGTCCTTTTACCACTGAGCCATCTTGCCGGTCCTCCAAGTTCCTAATTCCAATGGCATAATATTTGCATGTAGCACAGTGCATCCTTGCCTATCTTTGGTTTTTTTTTGCTGTTGTTTTTGTTGGAACATAGTCTTACTATGTGGCCTAAACTATCTCACAATAGTAATCCCCCTGCCTCATCCTGTTTGTGCTGATACAGACTTGGACATCTATAGCCTGCTCTGTCATCTGATGTGAACCATTTCTAGATTACTTACACTGCACAGAACAGTGTAAATGGTTGCTATTCTGTATCATTTGTGAAACAATAACAGACATATTTATGTCTGTAAATGTTCAGTACAGACCCAACCATATAATGTCTGCAAGCCGTGGATGCATGGGTCCATGCTTGAACTCACAGATGCAGAGGGCCACCTGCAGATACAGGACATAGAGAAATTAGGTATGGCCATGAGGCAGACAAGATTAGGGCTAGCTTAGCATCCTGGGTCTCCACTTAGCATGGGCTATGCACATACACCCTTAACAGTGCACCTAGCAACCTAGGACGGACGGACACACACACACACACACACACACACACACACACACACACACACACACACACCCCAGACTGCAGGTTTCATATACATCAAACAGAATAAGTTACTCCTCCATAGCAACCTTTAAAAACTCCCTTTTGTGGTCAGTTTTATTTAAACACATTTCAGGATGCATCTGGGTAAGGGATGCAGGGAGCTGATCTAGCCTGAACTAATTTTGGGTGCACTCACAGTAAGCTGAACTGTGCTCTCTGAGTGAACTCTTAGAGGAAAAAAAAAATCTACTCACCATTTTATGACTATGAATAACTGGATGTGCATATGATTAAAATCAGATGCATCATGGGACACACTACCATTTCAGTAAGATTTACTATGTTCCAGGCACTGGGCACAAGCACTGTCCATATACAGTACCAGCCAGTCAGTCCTCATCGGCTTGAGTTAGATACCTTCGGAGGTGTCAATAAACATCATTATAAGCGGTTATAGTGAGTGGGTTGTGCTGGCTTGAATGAAAATGTCCCTCATAGGCTCCTGTATTTGAACACTATTTGTTCAGTTGGCAGTACTATTTCCAGGGGTGGCACAGTCATGCTGGGTCATGAGATGACCACACAGCTCCCTCTTCCCACCCTTCCTCCTCCCAAACTGTGAAAGAGCAATAACAAACGGCTGGGTGGCTGGTGCTGCTGCTCAATGGTAGCCTGCTTGCCTGGGTGTGTGACACACTGGATTGGATTGGTTCTGGCACCTCAATCGACAATAACAGTAAAAATAATGTCAGGCACAGTGGTGTAGATCTGTAATCCCAGCATGTGGGAGGCAGAGGCAGGAGAATCAGACCTTTTAGGTCATCCTCAGCTACATATCAGTTTTGAGGGTAGCCTGGGCTACATGAGACCCTATGTCAAAAACAAAATAATAATTGTAATAAAGGACTTGTTTTTGCACCATGAAGTCTAGGATTTTTTTTTCAAGAAAGGACAATCAGAACACCTCCCCATGAAGGGCACTACAGGTCAGATTTGAATCTCCTCTTCCAGTAGTCGCTGAAACGGTACAAGGCATGTCAGAGGGGATTGTTACCTTGAGTAACAATTCTCTTCTCCAACCCTGGAGATGGAATCCCAGGACAACTGCCAGGCTACAACCATTCTGGTCACTAGCCAGGAAGTAAGGCTAGAGGCCAGGCAGCCTTTGGCCCCTAGGGACAGTGGCTTCACAAAGCCTAGAGAAGAACCTTGCAGAGACAACCTCCTCTGTGGATGGCATTTTCCATACAATGCTTTGGCTGTTGGCAGGTGATCAAACTGCAGTTAAAATACAAGAGGAAGATTCCTACAGAATCTACAAGGACAGGCAGGAGGCCAGGAAAGAATGACATCATCCTGTTCAGGAACAAATGCAAAGCATGTGTAAAACTTTCACCTTTAAGGATGAGTAAGCATGAAAAAATACATAAGCACAATAGAAAATTCTAGAACATGGGCAATGTAACACCTGCCAGATGTGAGAGTGAACTCCAGCACTTGGAAGGTAAAGACAGGAGAACAGAATGAAGAGTGCACGGTTATTCTTGGTTACATACGGAGGAGTTCGGAGTTCAGAGTTCGAGACAAGCCTGGGTTCCATGCAACTCTGTCTTAAAAGAAACAAAGAAGCAAGCTGGAGAGCTGCCTTGGCAGCTGTGAGCAGGTGCTGATCTTGCTGAGGACCCAGGCACTCCTCAGGCAGCTCTCAGCGGCATGTAACTCCAGTTTTAGGGGATTTGATGCCCTCTTCTGGCTTCTTTGGACACCTACACACACACACACACACACACACACACACACACACACACACACACACACACACACACAGGCATTCACTCACACAATGTACATACATAATTAAAAATAAAAGTAAAATACTATTTTGAAAAATGAAGAAGAGGAGGAAAGGAGAGGGAGGGGTAGTTGATGACAAAGAAAACAGCACAAGGTGGAAGTGACTTTTTTAAAGTTTTGCGATCTGAAGTCAATTTAAATAGTCTCTGATTCATCCCGTGTGAATGAAATAGGCCAAAGGCATGAACTAATATGAGTGACCCTGTTCATAAGGTAGAATTAATAGTTATGAACCAGAGTCCAAAATCTACTGGACATTTACAAAAACTGACAAAAACATTTTTTTCAAAGAGAGCCTCAGCTGGGCATGATGGCACACATCCTTAATCCCAGCACTTGGGAGGCAGAGGCAGGTGGATCTCTATGACTTCAAGGCCAGCCTGGTCTACAGAGTGAGTTCCAGGTCAGCTGGAGCTACATAAAAGGAGAGAAAAAGGAGCATCATTAAATTCCGAAACAGAGCTTGAGGTGTGGCTCAGTAGTACAGTGCTTCCTTAACATGGGAAAAGCCTGTGGGTTCAGCACCCAGAACTGAAAGAATAAACCTGTGCTCCGAGGTTCTCTGGCGGCCTCCAGAAACACACTTGTCTTTCCTGGACCCAGACTTTCTCACTTGTAGAAGAGGGGCAGTGGTAGCACCTGCCTTATAGTCATGACTTTATGGGCTTAAATAATTTTGTAAGAGATTTGGAGAAGAACTTGGTAAATTCTAAACTCTATCACTGTGACCTATTTTTCTAGTCATAGTTAAATAAAATAAAATTTCAATGATAAAACGTGTGTTGTGAGTACGATGTGTGTATGTGTGTGTTGTGTGTGTGGTGTGTGCATGTTGTGTATGTGCATGGTGTGTGTTGTGTGGGTGTATGATGTGTTGTGTGTTGTGTGTGTGTGTGTGTTGTGCAAGTGTTGCCTCTGGAGGCCAGAAGGTGACATCATTTTTCTCTGTGTCATTCTTCCCCTTATTTTTTGGGACAGGGTCTCTCACTGAACAGCAAGCTGCCAGGATCTGCCTGTCTCTGTGCACCCAGAGCTGGGGTTACAAGCACATCCGCCCTATGCAGCTCTTCTGTGGATTCCGATGCAGGTCCTGACGCTCGTACAACACGTGCTTTACCCACTGAGCCATGTCTCCTGCCTTCACCCACCGCGCCATCTCTGCCCCCCAACCATAATAAAACTTGCACCTATCTACTCCCACCCCCAACCAATAGTATCCACGTCACCCGACGATGGCATGGCATGCTTGGAGACTCTAAAAGCTGCATCTAAGACAGGAGTTCAAGAAGAATAAACCAGAACATGCAAGACCACATGAGCATCATCACTGTCTTTGGCTTCAGGGTTGTTATGGTGGTAGCAAGATGCCTGGCTTTGGCATGGTTCACAGTCTCTTGGGTTATGGAAAGAAAAGTGAATCCATGCATGGGCTTACATGCTGTAAGCGATCCCACAAAGTGAAGGGGGCCTGAGACAGCATGAAGGTGGTCAGGGGCTCTGAAGGCCAGGGTGGATGCCAAAAGCAAGAGTAAGGACCCCACAGCTGCCGTGCCTGTCGGAGGCTGGGTGAACTTTTTAAAGATTTATTTATATTTGTGTGCACATCTGCAGGTGCTCACAGAGGCCAGAAGATGGTGTCGGATCCCCTGGAGCTGAAGTTGCAGGTGATTTGGAGCCTCCTGACTAGGGTGCTAAGGAAAACTCCACTTTGTGCGAGGCACCCCTTCTAAATTCCCAAAAGATAAGCAAGCTCCTGGCGACTCTGACTCCTTGCCCTCCTCCCCAGAATTGTAAAACTGTTGTGAAATGATTACCTGCTTGCTCTGTAAACTCCATTACTGTTGTGTACAGAAGTGAGGTAGTTCCCCACCTAGCTGTAAATTCCACAGGAATGAAGCAATTGTGACCTGCCTTCAAACCCCCTCCCTTTTAAGCTGGGCCTCAAGTGCAAATGCTACCTTGGGGACCGAGGACAGCTGCAGCTTAAAGTAAAAGTTGGCTAATTACAGCTGGCCAGGGTCCGGTGGTCCGCGGTGTTTGCCAACTTCCTAACTCTAATTTCCTAACGTTCAGATCCTTTGTAAGAGCAGTGTATATATACTCTTGACTGAGTCATTTCCCTGACCCTCACGGGAAATTTTAATAACAGGATTAATAAAATGGAAACTTAGAGATGAGAGAGAGAGAGAGAGAGAGAGAGAGAGAGAGAGAGAGAGATCTTCCACCTCTTCTTTCTGTACCTCATACTGCTTTACACATCAACCCACCTGGAAACCACGAAATTATCAGTCCCCTAAGAGTAAGAGCCTGTCCCATCAGATGTCACAGCAGTATGTTAGGAATGCTGAAGTGTCTGTTCAAAGTTGATAAAATCAAGTCTCACAAAAAACAAACAAGCAGCCCGGGAGCAGAGGTGCATGCTTTAAATCTCAGCACTAGAGGAGGCAGAGCCAAGTGGATCTCCTGTGAGTTCAAGGCTAGCCTGGTCTATATAGTGATTTTCAGGACAGCCAGCCAGAGCTACATGGTGAGACACTGACTTACACACACACACACACACACACACACACACACACACGGGGTTGGGGTGGGGGTGGGGATGGGGGGAGAACCAAGAGGAGCTGGACAGGAATTCCGCTCTGCTTGGGGCAGCTCCTCCACAGGCCCAGTGGCAGAGACGGTGTGCTGTCCATGACCAGAACCAACCTTCTGCTATTCCTCTGCTTCATGCCCCTCTGACTGGAATGAGCAGGTGCTGGTTCCTCTGTAGAGACATGGTGTAGCTAATTTCCCTTCAGCCAAGCTCCCAAGCACCTTGAGACTCAACCCAGCATCCATGGACCATAGTGAGCACGTTAGCTGACTGGTGTTGTAGAGATCAGCAATCAGAGCGCCCCCTGCTGTTGACGATATAGCCAAATGTACTTCAGTGCCCGACATCAGGATCTCAGGACTTCATGTTTGTGTGCAGATACCCTTTCCCAACCTCATTCTCCATCAGGACCCTTAAACAATAGAGATTCCTGGTGAGTGCCCCCCAGCAAGCAGTAAAAATCTACAGAGACTGTGCAGTGCTGGGAATGGGGCACAGACGCATACACATGCTGGCTACCCGCTCTCCCAGTGAGATAGGCCCACCTCCACAGCAATCAACTCTATTGGACAGAGGTAAGGCACACGCCCCACAAGCACTGTGCTAATGAGGCAGGAAATAAAGTTCAAAGCAGCAGCAGTTGCTAGTTTTGTTCTTCTCTTTCCCCGCCTCCCTCACCTACAAACAAAATTCACAAAAAAGCACAGCAAAAACCTGTTTTGGATGCTATGAATTGCTGCAGTTCAGCTAAGTCAACAACCTGCTTCACCAAGGGGAGGCCTATGGGTTGCACTGTAGCAAACCCTCGGCAAAATTCAAGATTCAGTAAAAGAATTACGCTTGGTGACAGCTGCCCTTAGCAAGGGGCTAGCCTGCCCTTTGCTCCACCATGCTCCATTTCCAGCCCCACCCCTGTCCCTACCTGGAAGTTTGACAGCCAGAAAGGCCGGCACTTTCCCTAGGTCTATGAATTGTTTTGATATTTTGTTTATGTTGTAGTGCTGGGGGATGGAAGCCAGGCCTGGGCATGCCAGGTGGGACAGTTAGCTTTCATTGTTAACTTGACACAACCTAGGATCTAGCCTGTGGTCATGTCTGTGGAAGATTTGGGGTTTTTTTGTTGTTGTTGTTGTTGTTTGGTTTGTTTTTGTTTTTTTGAGATAGGGTTTCTCTGTGTAGCCTTGGCTGTCCTGGAACTCACTCTATAGACCAGGCTGGCCTTAAATTCAGAGATCTGCCAGCCTCTGCCTCTCCAGTGCTAAGATTAAAGACATGCACCACCACCTGGTTGGATATTTTTCTTTAGACAAAGTCTTGAGACCCATGTGGCTTGAATTCTGGAACCTTGAGTAGAGGCAGAGAGAGAATAAAGAACAGACACACACACAAGGAAGCTGAGACAAGGTTTGGGTATCCTCATTCGGATGGAGCCAACAACTCAAACCTCAGCGTGTTTATTAGGTATAGCCCTCGGGGAGGGTTATCTACTCCACTCTGGGTAGGAGGTCTCTGTAGGTGAGCAGTCTAAACATCAGGGAGGAGGAAGAAACTTCAGTTGCTAGTCTTTGCACACACACACTGCTCACCCATTCACTTGGACTCCCGAGGAAAGCTCTGCCATCCCTCTGAGCCTCACCCTGGTAAGGTTTTCCATTCCCATGAGGCTGAGGCATTGGGGTCCGGGATATGGCTGCACTCATGTCAACAATACACCTTCACTCAGGGCTTCATCCATTCCCTACAGACTTGCTATATAGCTCAGGGTAGCTTTATTTACCAGTAACTCTGAGACAGGGTCTTACAAACCCCAGTCTGGTCCTCAACGTTTTGTAGTTGAGGATGATCATTCACTTCTGATCTTCCTCCCTCCTCCTTCCCAGTGCTGGGATTACATCTCCCCATGCCCATTTATGCAGTGCTGGGGACTGGAGCCGGGCCTTCAAGCATGATAGGCAAGCACGCTGCCAACTGAACTATATCCCCAGCCTCCAGGCTGGCCGTGAACTGGGGCAATCCTATGGTCTCAGCTCCTACGTATTGGGATTTCGTGTGTGTGCCATCATTCCCAACAACACCCCCAAGTTTGTGAGGGAGCTCCTAAGAAACCCCTTTGTTCTCTCTGGACATGGCAGTCCCCTCCAGGGAAGGACGGTGAGGCTCCACTCTGTATTGAGGAGTGGCTGCTTCACCCCAAGGCTGACTGTTACATTTTGAACAAAACTCCTGGTGTCTCTTGCTTGGATGAGGAATTCTCTCTCACCAGTGGCAACTTCTTATTTTAAGCTTCTGAAATGTCATATTTGATTCATCGGCCAGAAATAAAGATTCATCCTTTTTAAAGACTAACTTTAATATCATGAGAATGTCGTTGTAGATCACGATGTCATATGAAATACAAAAATCCATGAACAACGAATAAAAATGAGTATAGGAAAAACTTGATCTGCACTGGGGTTGGGTTGGACAGGCCTTGGTTTAGGCTAGTGGGTTTGTTGGGAGACTCTCCTGGTTTTGGAAGGTATTCACCAGCATCCCTGACTACACATTGGATTCCAGTGTCCCTGCCCCTGTAGCAGGCTTTCTTGAACCGCCAGCCCCCAAAATCATGACATGGAGACTTATTAATTATGAATGCTCAGCCTTAGCTTAGGCTTGTTTCTAGCTAGCTTTTTAAACTTAAATCAACCCATTTCTATTAATCTATGTGCTGCCCCAGTCTTGTTTAACTCTTTTATGAGCTACCCATCCTGCTTTCCTGCTTCCTCTGTGTCTGGCCGGCTCATCCCCAGCTGGACCCTGGTAGTCGTCGTGTCCCCGTCCGCCCCCCCCCCCCACCTGCCATCCCCGCATGTCCCTCCTCTCCCTAGCTATTGGCTGTTCAGCTTTTTATTAGACCAATCAGGTACCTTATATAGGCAAGGTAAAACAACAACACATCTTTACATAGTTAAACAAATGCAACACATCTTTGCATAGTGAAATATTCTATTCCATAACATGCCCCAGTTGTGGCCAAAATAGTACTATCTCCAGGCATTGCCAAGGTGTCATGAGGAACAAGACAACCCCCACTGAGAGTTACTTCTTTATGCTAGTCTCTTCTTATGGAACCATTTTAAAAATTAAAAAATTAACGTATCTGGGAGGGCTCAAGTGAAGGCCAGGGATAACCTTCGGGAGTCAGTTTTCTCCGGGAATTGAAGTCAGGTTATCGGGCTTGGTGGCAAGGGCCTTTACCATCTTGCTGATCCTATGACCAATTTTAAAAATAAATTCTCAGAGAACTTGGATGTAACCTCAGCTGGGATTATAGGTGTGCACCACCTTCCCCAGCAAGCACTCTTACAACTGAGCTACATCTGCAGTGTGGGAAAGTTTTTTTTTTTGTTTTTTTTTTAAAGATTCATTATAAGTTTAATTGTGCGTGCGTGCGTGCGTGCGTGCGTGCGTGCATGTGCGCTTACAGAGGCCAGAGGTGTCAGGTTCCCTGGAGCTGGAGTTATGGGAGGTTGTGAGTCACCCGAGAGGAATTACGTGAAGTCCTCCAGAAGAGCAATGCACACTTTAAACCTCTGAGCCATCTCTTCAGTCTCCTGGAAATTTTTAATATTCTTACTTGCTAAAGTCTTACATTACTTCAAAATGGCCTGTGAAAGAAAAGCTACTCCATCAGTCCTTGGTGATACACACACCAGGATGTCAAAAGCCAAAGGGACCGTT